ACGATCATGTTATCTCAACCCCCACTGGCTGACATGATGTGGGTTGCGTTGCTCATCCTTTCAGGCCTTGCCCGAGCAGCTATCCCTAATGCCATGCTTCGTGGCATGCAGTCTCTCCCCAAGCTCTCAGCACCTCAACGTTCTATTATTTCACCAAATGGCACATTTTAGTTAGCACCACTCACAGGAGTTATTTGTATTTGATGCGTCGACCTCGAGTGTCTGACCGTACTAGAAGCAAGGATGTCCGAGGATTCCGAATAAGCAGGACCTGCAGGCAACCAGCAGTGGGGTTTGGACGTTGGCCAACATCACAGGCGATGGAATGTGTATCTGATGCATGGGATTCTGGAAGAGATTATAGCGAGAGTGAACTTGAAGTGAGGAAGACATTGCCTGCTCCGTTCGATAGATATCTAACTTATGTGATTGGCAGCACGGCCCCTTATTCAGGGATAACTCTGATGCTACATCTTTGGAGTTTGCAGACGAGTTATCCGAGGCTGTAGTTCCTTCTCCGCCGGCTGAAGAATGTCCGCCCGTTAAACGTCGATGTGCTCCACAGGCTCGAAGGGTCCAGAGAGGGAGGAAAAGAAAATAGACATTGGCTTATGTACCTAGTTGTACATGTTCTATGGCAATAAAATAACAAAGGAATGGTCGTGAACTCATCCAACTTGATCTGGAAGTCTAATGTAGAACATATAGGAATGGCGCGTCAGTGGCCGCGTCAAGGCTCGTTAGTGCCACGTCAACGCCGCGTCACATCCGCATCACGCCGCGTCACAACCGCGTCACAACCGCGGCAGGCGCGGCAGGACCACGTCAAAATAGCTACGGCGTACGCGCACAGTCCGAGTTTTCGTGAGTAGTACTGTAAGGTGTGTGCACCACAGCAGGTCATCGTGTGTTCTCCCACTGACGCATGATGTCCTGCAAGAATCAGACGTCGCAACTTCTCGTAAGATGTTCCCGTGGTCCAGCCTCGGAACCAGTCTCCGAGTCAGATTACCATGGCATTCAAACGGTGAGCGCCGCCAGCAAGTCGTTCAAGTGAGCTTCTAATTCACCACTGGCCTATCAGTATCGAGCATGTAGCAAGTAATATTCCAGGAGTTATCTACAACTATTCAAATTTCAGTCGTGCGAGCCACATATTCAGACTCTGGATGCGATAAGCAAATCTACACGTACTGGATCTTTCGCCAACTTCAGTTTGATGGGTGCATTTGAAAGCCGTTGAGCAATCTACTGCCACCTATGTAAGTCCAATTCCATTCTGTGCCTCATCTGTTACCGCGTCTTGCTTGCGAATCAAGTAGCGCATGTTTCAATCAGAACTTCGCAAGTGTGGTGCCTCGCCGTGGCTATAAAAGGTCTTTTCTCGACCATCATCATGTTGTTGAGTGCCATCCCTGTCATCAATGTTCAACATCATGTGGGCCCTTGCGTCGCTGCTACTTCCAGGTCCTGTCCGAGCAGCTATCCCCAACGCAATGCTTCGCGGCATGCCTTCTCTCCCAAAGCTCCCAGTGCCGGATCGTGCCATCACTTCACCGAATGGCACAGTACTCCCACCCATCACGACCATCTATTACTTTGATCAGCTCATCGACCACAATAATCCAGACCTCGGGATGTTCCAGCAGCGGTATTGGATGGACTGGGAGTTTTACGAGCCCGGTATGTCGTGAAGATAGAGGTGCAACTTCGAGTAACGTTGCATTGCAGGTGGCCCCATCATCTTGACGACACCCGGAGAAGGTCCCGGGGATGGTCAGTTTACCATCCTTGATTTGTGATTTTCTCTCAAGCACTTGATTTTTAGGCTTTGAGGCCCTCACTACCAATGAAACCATCAACGGTCTCATCGCTCAACAACAGAATGGTGCGGTCATCAGCATCGAACATCGTTTCTTTGGCTATTCCAATCCATACGACAACCTCACGTCACAATCTCTCGCGCTCCTTACCATCCAGCAGGCCATTGATGATCTCGAGTATTTCGCGAATACTGCTGACCTTCCCATGCCTGGGGGTGATGCTGTGAAACCAGGTCAGGCCCCTTGGATACTGACGGGAGGAAGCTACGCAGGGGCCCTCACAGGTTGGACGATGGTCGAGTGAGTAACTTGCCAGAAGTGAAACGTTTGTTTCAGTTAATGATTCGTGTACAGCAAACCAGGACTTTTCTGGGCCGCATACGCATCTTCTGGGGTTGTAGAAGCGATCACGCACGTCATTTTATTATAATCACTCCTCGTGTCTCATTGATGTGATTTTATTCGACCAAAACAGTGATTATTATGAGTATTTCACCCCTGTTCGCGAGTACATGCCGCAGAACTGTTCCTCTGATGTAGAGGCTGTGATTGCCTACCTGGATGAGTTGTACGTAGCTAACGACACGGCTGGAATCCAGACCCTCAAGGAGGCATTTGGCCTTGGCGATGTTGTACACGTAGATGATTTCGCCACTGCACGTGAGTCGTCCTTGTCCTGTATTCAGGCTTATGTGATTGCGTAGAACAGACAGCATGGTTAACATGTCTTTCTGTATTTTATATTGCAATCACCAGCGCGCGCAGTTCCTCCTTTTCTTTTTGCGACATTCTTTTTCTTAAAATTTTCTGCTACTTTCTTGACTCGACTGACTTTGCTTTGGCCAACAGTTCAAGACAACTTGTTCGAGTGGCTAAATCTGCAGCCTGCTATTGGCCCAGGAGCAATGTTCTTCCAGTTCTGTGATGCACTCGAGGTCAAGAACGGTGTCAGTGCCGGACCTGAAGGATGGGGACTTGAACACGCCATCTACTCTTGGGGAAACTTCTGGAATACCACATACTACAACTCTGGTAGGCGGTCCCCTTGATTTCCGATTGACGTGGCTAAACTTGATAGTAAAGTCTGTGGATCCGAGGATGCTGAGTACGTACCCCTGAGATGTAGTCATCCGGATTGGCTGACCGTGAAGCTAGAACCTGTCTTGGGACGTATAACACGAGTCAATCCTACTGGACTGATGTTACCGTGAACAATTCAGGCAGGTCGTGGTTTTGGATGGTGTATGTATGCTCATTAGTTCGAATATCCACTCTGACAATTAGTCTAGGTGCAATCAAGTCGGATGGTACCATGTTGGCCCCCCCAAAGGCCAATCCGCAATTGTGAGCCGCATTCTCCAACCCATTTACAACGAGGTACGTTTATTGATTGTATTCAAAACCAAAACATAAGCATTCTTTAATATAATTTTCAGCGCCTATGCGTAAACATGTTTCCTCAAGCGTTCGCCTATCCACCTCAGCCAACCACTACACAGACCGACACAATGTATGCCGGTTGGAACGTGAATGTTCCACGTCTCTTCTTCGCCAACGGCCTGCGCGACCCTTGGCGTGAAGCAACTGTCTCTGCTGATGGACTGAATAAGCCTAGCAATCCCAACATGCCGATCTATGAGAGCGATGGATTCCATTGCTCGGATATGCTGGCGAAGAATGGGGTTGTAGACCCAACTGTCGCGGCCGTGCAGGAAGCAGGATTAAGGTACATGAAGAAGTGGCTTGCTGAGTGGACGCCGTCCACGTGATAAAGGATTGAAGCATTGGGGCTGTGGTTAGGCAAGTTGTTTATATTATAAACACCTACGTTTGGGAAGAAGTGTCGATGACAATACAGAGTCCGTCCTGTCCAGTCAAGTTGCCAACAAAGGTCATGTACCCCAGTGATTATTCGATGACACACCACATCATACTCACGTACGTCGCCCATATCTCATCTACATAATAGTACTATTTTCTGTTCTCAGTCTTTTAAGTTCTGCACGACTCAATCCTCACGATACGTCATCACAACCCTCCATTTTTCACTGGGCTTGAGATATTTTCTCTGCCAGATACAGCAGTGCAGAGATCGAGCTGCGTGAGTATCGTTCAGCAGTCGTGATGTTCCGTATACATGTATATCGTTTCTGACATTCCGAATATTCCAACTTCATTTCATCATGTAGAGGAACGCATCAGCAAGAGAGAAACGGAGGACCATCCTGAAAAAGCTACTCAGGCAAGTAGTTCACCTCCTCTCAATAACCACATCACACAGTGATATCATGCAGTGGCACGGCTCAGGCCTCAGGTACAGTCATATTCGTAACCACAGGATGCGATGCTATCTCTACTCCTGCTGCGGCTCTTCGAGCATCCATCCTCATGTAATAACAAAACACGCTAGACGCTGCACTCGGTTTCGGCTCTCTTGATAAGTTATGATATATAAAGGTCAAGTACGCTGACCTTACGAGCCGTTGAACCTTGTCGCATATGCAGGTCGCACTGGAAAATTGTTCCCATAATACGGTGATGCGCATGCGCACACACGCATTCTGTACCAAACCATTATCAGAGCACCATACAGGATCAAGAAGAAAACTGTTTAGGGCAAGACAGTTGATCCCTATCAAGATACGCATCTTGGTCTGTGTTGGCTTCAAACAGCAGTCCATATGAGGACCGGAATGACTGGTGAGAACCTGTTAGCTGTGTTCGATGCCCCTCCTCGACTCCAAAATCAGGTGAAGTTGTGACCTGGTGATGTCATATATGCGCGTATTAACCGTAATGGAACTCAATTTTAATCCGTCCGCGTGTTACAGTTGATTCATATGGCTAGACGCCAGACATCGATTCAACAGCAAATTTTAGAAACCACTCGACCTATCGCGATTTGCGTAGGCCCTGTATAGTTATGGCCTCTCATCAAATAGTTTGCGTATATAATACGTGTCCTGGTCTTAGATTTCAATACATCGCATCAATCTGTGATAGGCGCTGTAAAGCCCTTTTTCGAGGAATTCAACATGCTGGGCATGAACTACGGAAATTACCGTGCGCCACATTAAGTCGGGTGGTTGTTGCCTGTTGTCGAGAAGCTGGCTAAGCTTCGTTATGAAGCTCTGATAACTCATTCGAGCTCTTGAAAGAAACCCCTATACAGTAAAACGCATCTGAACAGTGCCAGTCTAGACAACTGCTGGCATCAATCTCTGATAATATACATGTATTATATTTAGGTATGTTCTAAAACCATTGGCACGTTGGCCGTACATGTGCTCAAACACAACCTGATCGAGTAGCGAGTTACGCAATTCATTACGATTCCTCGAAAGTACATATACCTGAGGAGGGCGAACTGGTGCCAGTCTGCCGTCTATATGCCCGCAAATTTGGTGGTAGAGTCTTTTCGAGTGCGCACCAAGCGAAGAGAAGGGGCAACCACGCCCAGGACAATATCTCTATTGTCGCCAAGAATTGAAGCCACCACAGTCCAGAAGCGTAACACGCGATCATAAGAGCTATAGGATGCTATTAGATCAATCTCGGCATCAATATGGGACCACTTACATGACATCAAGAAGATGATAGAAAGCGTGAGAGATACAGTCGGCCAGGCGATAAACATGAGTGTACAGCACAGTCGAAAGCGTGTGGCCGTCAGGACCTGCAAGTTTGTGAATACGCATAAATGCAGTCAGGTCTGATACAAACTTCTTTAGACCATATACGATCACAGGCTTCCCATATGTTGACTACAGCTAGGCCAGTAAGCAGGCCACCGAGGGCATGCGCAAAAGATCCGAGGGCTAAAAGATAGCAAACGCGTATGGTGTACGGAAGAAACGATGTCAGAGGCGGTTGTGTTGAAAGAAAGACCGCCGAAGTAGTGAGTACCTGCAATTCAGTATTAGATTTCTTTCCTTGACCCTAAGAAGTACTACATGCCAAGCCTGCCTGCAATTTCATAAATCAGTCCATGGTTAGGTCATATCGATGTTACCTACCGCTATGTTAGTATTACTCAGTCTGTCAGTAAAACTCTTCCTATGCTTATCCCATTCATCATCGTTGATCTTGGACTTCCAGTGATGTTCGAGAGACGGTCTTGACATCGAGATCAGACAGAGTGTACGAAACAATGTGGACAATATAGGATGTTCGTTAAAATCCGGAACCGCCCAATAGTCTGGTAGCGGCTCGGGTGACCTACAAAACTTGATCAATCAATAATCCGAGAGCAGTGGGGTTACTTGCTGATTGGTTTCGTTCTCCATTCGACACGGTGGGTAAAAACAGTCCTGCGGTCCTTAAGTTGAGGTTTCGCCCTCTTCGGTGAAAGCGGAGGCAGTCTTATATAGTTCGCTGTGAAGGATACCATACGTAAGCATGGTGCTGGTGCTAGCTAGGAAGGACGACAACACACACGACCAAATATGACCAGGTGGGGGGCGGCGATCTGCACGGACTGCATGACCACTGGTAGTACGCCATCGATTCACTTGAAAAACATGCACATCATTCACGAACTTCGCGAACCACAGATTCTTGATAACCCTGAAGTATATCAAATTCATAGACAGTGTTAGCAAGTCTTCAGAATCCAGAACATCCAACTTGCATGATTTTGACATCATGTCAATTAGTGGAGCGTTGAATCCACATGTCGTGCTTCCGTAGGAAAGTGCTAGAGTTAGGGAAGTGGCAACTGACAAAATTGAATAGCAAGCGCCTCTAGACGACATGGGGTGTAAGGGGCGTGCCCGAGACTTGTAAGGGCAAGTAATGACGTTACAGCAGAGCGCTTTAAGTCGTGGAGAAAGTTTGAAACGCCTGTGCTGTACCCGGACAGGCTGACCGCGGCGTTCGCACTACATGATGGTAGCGCGTTGTGTTGTAGTAGTATGCTGCTTGATAGCACTAAGAAAATAGCTCGTTCCCTGTTTCAATGGAGTAAGAAACTTGGTAACTTATATCAATTAAAAACAGGCAAGAATGAACAACCCACCGGTGATCAACGTTGACCGGTCGACCGGCCAGTGGTATACCGTGAACTACTAGGCAAACCAGCTAGAACCAGCTGCCAGTCGTTAGAGGTGCCATTGGGTGTTGTTGTCCTTGATTCACAGCACTGTACTGTAATTAACTTATGTCCAAAGTTTGAACAGCCAGCCTGACTCTTACATAAAGTATAGCTAGTGACGGACTTCAATATTAGGTCGTTAACTTGTGACACGTGTGATGATGTAAGTCAGACACAGTGTCTAGTGCGTTCGAAGTAACTTCGACGAGCTAAGATAAGTTCTTCCGACTTCTGATGCAGAATGCATTACATTCGACTTGCCAGTGACTAGTGGAGACTATTGGGTTGGCCAATTTACTTATCAGCAACACTACTAATAGCCCGAGGGCCTTCAGGGTGTTGAAGGGATAACGAACTGGCACTCAGTCAACAAGATAACAGTTGCAGCAGATTCCCGCTACACTCTCGGCAGTACGACCCCGGCGGGCCTGTGTCAGGCTTCAGCCGCACTAGTCATACTCTTCCTGACCTTTTCCCGAAAGAGCAAGACCAAGGGCAACTTTGACCGCGGTACAATTGGTCTTCTCCAAAGGAGCTTTCCTCAGTAGTCATGTTGGCCGTATACAGTCTTTCTCCTACCAACGACACATACCTGGAAGATCAGAAGACTCAAATTAATTACTAGGTCAAGCTGACCCTTGAGGCACATGTCAGAGTCAGAGCAGTGAGCATCTAAATATCTGCTGAGCCGTATTCACCATTTAAATCCATCTCAGCTGTGCGAGCCGCAAGTCCAGGCATTAGAGAATACGTACTGGGTCTTTCTCCAAGTTCCTTTTGATGGACGACCACGGTAAGGCCGTCGAGCAACCTGTATGTCCAAAAATATCCTCTTCAGGCTTCTCTTACGAAGCGAGTAGCAAAGTTGTCAAATTGCAAGTGTTACACTACCCACTTACGCATCCTGCCATGGCTACATATAAAAAGCGTTTCCCGGACCAGGATCATGTTATCTCACTCCCCACTGGCTGACATGATGTGGGTTGCGTTGCTCATTCCTTTCAGGCCTTGCCCGAGCAGCTATCCCTAATGCCATGCTTCGTGGCATGCAGTCTCTCCCCAAGCTCTCAGCACCTCAACGTTCTATCATTTCACCAAATGGCACAGCACTCGATATTACGACTGTTTATCACTTCGACCAGCTCATCGACCACGATAATCCAGGCCTCGGAACCTTCAAGCAACGATATTGGATGAACTGGGAGTGTTATAAACCTGGTATGTCGCGAGGATCAAGGTGCGCTTCAAGCGATATTGACGTGTGCGCTCAAGGCGGTCCCATTATATTGATGACGCCTGGAGAAGTGGATGCAGATGGTTGGTTTTACTATAACCAATTTGTTACCTTTCTCTCAAAGTACTTTATTTCAGGATACGAAGGCTACACCACCAACGACACGATTAACGGTCTCATCGCCCAACAACAAAATGGTGCAGCCATCCTCATCGAGCACCGTTTCTTTGGTTATTCCAATCCATACGACAACCTCACGCCAAAATCCCTAGCTCTCCTCACCATCCAGCAGGCTATCGATGATCTCGTATATTTTGCCACCACAGCCGACCTTCCTATGCCTGGTGGTGATGCTGTGAAACCAGGTCAGGCTCCATGGATATTGATCGGAGGAAGCTACTCGGGAGGCCTCACAAGTTGGACAATGGTCAAGTGAGAATTTGAAACACAATTTGATGTTTCAGCATAATGATTGACGTAAAGCAAACCGAAAATTTTCTGGGCTGCATATGCATCTTCTGCCGTCGTAGAAGCCATCACGTATGTTACATCACTGTGCATCTCCAATTAATCTGATTGATTTCTCGTTATAATTAACGGAATGTATCCGCATATGACGTGTCCGTTCGTTGAAATTGGCCTTGGATCACTGTTCTCTGGCACAAACAGCGACTTTTATGGTTATTTCACACCTATTCGCGAGTACATGCCACAGAATTGTTCATCTGATGTACAGGCAGTGGTTGCATACTTGGATGAGATGTTCACGGTTAATGACACCGCTGGAATTCAGACGCTCAAGGAAACATTTGGCCTCGGTGATGTTGTACACGTAGACGATTTCGCCAGTGCACGTGAGTCATCCTTGTCTTTTCAGTTTTATGTGGTTGCGTAGAGCGGAGCATGGTTAGCATGCCTTCTGATCCATGCAACATCTGTAGTTTATATTGCCCTCACCAGCGCGCGCAGTTCATCCTTTTACCTCGAATATTCCTTTTGTGACATTTTTTTTCTGCTGCCTTCTTGACTCGACTGACTCTGCTTGGGTCAACAGTCCTATACACCTTGTACGAGTGGCAATCTCTGCAGCCTGACGTTGGCCCAGGGGCAATGTTCTTCCAGTTCTGTGATGCACTCGAGGTCAAGAACGGCGTCAGTGCCGGACCTGAAGGATGGGGACTTGAACACGCCATCTACTCTTGGGGAAACTTCTGGAATACCACATACTACAACTCTGGTAGGTGGTCCCCTTGATTTCTGATTGACGTGGCTAAACTTGATAGTAAAGTCTGTGGATCCCAAGATGCTGAGTACGTACCCCTGAGATGTAGTCATCCGGATTGGCTGACTGTGAAGCTAGAACCTGTCTTGGGACGTATAACACGAGTCAGTCCTACTGGACTGATGTTACCGTGAACAATCCAACCAGGTCGTGGTTTTGGATAGTGTATGTATGCTCATTAGCTCGAATATCCACTCTTACGATTATTCCAGGTGCAATCAAGTCGGATGGTACCAGGTTAGCCCCCCTGAAGGCCAGCCCGCAATTGTGAGCCGCATCCTCCAACCCATTTACGAGGAGGTACGTGTATTGATTGTATTCGAGACACATTTTTCAACATAATCTTCAGCGCCAATGCGTGAACATGTTTCCTCAAGCGTTTGCCTATCCACCTCATCCGACCACTACACAAACCGACACGATGTATGCCGGTTGGAACGTGAATGTTCCACGTCTCTTCTTCGCCAACGGCCTGCGCGACCCTTGGCGTGAAGCAACTGTCTCTGCTGATGGACTGAATAAGCCTAGTGATCCTAACATGCCGATCTATGAGAGCGATGGATTCCACTGCTCAGATCTAATCACGGAGAATGGTTATGTAGACCCGACCGTTGCAGCCGTGCAGGAAGCAGCATTAATGTACATGCACGAGTGGCTTGCTGAGTGGAAACCTAATGCTTGATTATTTGTATAGATATA